TTGAACCAACATCGGATAATAATTGGAAAGTTGAATTAGAATTATCTGCTGATATCGCTTCACAGATGAGCAATCATTTTAAGGAATGGAAAAGTGAATCTACATATTTCACATTAGGCAAGATTTTGCATGAACTTGGTGAATATACAAATGCAATCAATTTTTATAAACGAATGTTCACAGAATCATCGAATCTTTCGGAACGTACTCTTGCTAGTATTTATCATCACATTGCTAAGTCAGAATACGCAAATGGTTCGTATCAAAGTGCATATGACAATCTTGAGCAAGCAGAAAAAATCCTTGAAAACATGTCTAAATCAAATGATGAAATTAATCTTTCTTTTCGATCAATCTATGCAGAAGATGCAGAACCTTCACCGATGTGTATTACAATGAATATGGGTTTAGTTCATCGTCAAATGAATCATTATGAACAAGCGAGACATTTATTTAATGAAGCTCTTCAAAAACATGGCTCAACTACCGACAAAGCTATATTGTACAATTCTATTGGTGGATTAAACTTTCAGCAAGGTAATTATTATGAAGCCCTTAATAATTATCTTGAAGCACTTAAGCTAACTACTGATCAATCATTAAAAGCAGAAATAAATCAAAGAATAAATTTACTCAATGAACTTTTACGTCGATAGTGCTCATGTGAAAAAGACCGTCTACAAATTAAATGTAGCGTTTGTTTTATTAACATATGTTCTCTGAAATAAACTATTTGCTAAGTATAGATGCATATATTTGAATTTGTGATTGTTTTTTTCTAGTGTAAGACTCTGGGGATTTCAACCTTGAACAAGACGAATGCTTATTCATTATATGACGGTGTTTTAATGCTCTTCGTCTACATCCTGTAGAGTATACTTTTTGGATCCGAATACAGATTCAAATTACAATGTTTTAGAGCGTGTAAATATTTTTGTATACGAAAAAAATCGTGCGCGTGAATGTCTGATTGAGATAGGTATGAGTGTAGGTTTGGGTGAGTGAAGAAAATACACGCCCACCCTCCCATGCAGATTTCAGTTGGGTGTGAATGTATCGGTACCAGTTTGATTGGATGAATCTATGACAAAAATCATCACACGGGCGCGCATATCATTGTGCACAACGAGACTGACGCTAATATCAATGTTTGTACTCACATCCATCTCTTTTCAAACGTTGGATACTAGCTTTGTTGAGGACTATCAAGCAGTATATGACATCAAAAGAGTCAAACGAGTGACATTGACGAAAGTTGCTTCTTATGAAATAAATTCAATCGAAAAGATCATGTCATACAGTGCTAAAAATGTTAAAGTATTTGAATTGTTGAGCCATGTTAGACGGTTCATTTTTAACTTAATCAAAGAACTCAGAACCAAGATATACGTATACACAGCTTAAGCAAAGCAAATATGAATAATGAAAATTCAAGGTTGTTTATTATATTACTGAATATCATGTGTAGTAGAGATCAAGTATGGTGTTTCAAGATGAATGTCAAGATCCAAGTCAATCAATTCGACCCAGCATGAATTATTCTCCGTCGCATTAATTAGAAATTTAATAATAATTTCAAATACTTCCATTCGTGAATTCAAAATGAGTCGTCCTGGAAAGAGATCGATGTCGTATGTACTTTGTGATAGAAAATTACCCAATCGTCCAAATTCTTGTATGTATACGAATGTGCTTAAACCAATTCATGCTTGAACATTAAGCACAGCGCGTTCTTCAGAAATGAGATTACTATAATATTTTTCAACAGTAATATTACGTTTCATAGATGTTACACTGTTATTATTGAGAGCCGGAGCAAACACACATTTGTCTTCAGCTGGTTTAACGGCGATGTTTCCCCCATGAATATGCCATTGTTCAGGAACTGATGCATTACATTAGACAGTGAAACGCATGAGTGGCTCCTTTATAGTACCAAGTGTTCCATTGGGAAATATCACATTGTGAAGAGAAAGCGTCTCTTTCAGTTGAGCGTAAAGAAGAGTAGCTCCTATCATATTAGCATAGGATAAATTCGAGTAATGAAATGTATTTAAACGAAGATCGATGTCGACTAAGGTAGCAAACGCCAATGTGCATGCATAAAAAATAGTTCGAACAAAAGCTGCTTTTGTCATGTCAGTTCTTATTAGGTTGCAATCAGCAAATACAACTTTTTTGAAATTTACTTCTCGGAAACTTGTTTCCGCTAAATTTAAACCGTCAAAATGTTGGGTACGTGTACTATCGAAATAAGCCAACGTAAAATTTGCACCTCTCAACATAGCTTTTCCAAAGTGAATATCCTTGAAAGTGGCTTGATAAAAAACTCCTTCCGTTAGATCAGTCTCTTCGAATCTCACAGATTGTAATATAGCTCGGGTGAAATCCACTTTGATCATTGTTATTTTGCCGAAAATTTGTTGATTTAACAGTTGCATTGAAAAAGTTGCCTTTGATTATGTTGCTATCGAATGTTGCCCAATATAAATTCGTATGCGAAAAATCAGTCTCGACTAGGATCACTTGATTAAAATGTGCTCTTATACCACTACATCGTGATAAATTTGCACCTGAAAGATCTGCTCCAGTGAAGTCGCAATATGATAGATCACAGCCAACAAATGATGCATTGTTGAGACGGGCGCTGGAGAGTGACAATTTATAAATGGGTCTCTGAATAGTCGATGCACTTAGATAAATACCAGTTAATTGAACTCCCGAAAGATCAAGAGGATTCTCTTCAGTTTTCAACAGTCTCGTTTCATGTAGAAAGAGAATCAACTGCGTTGAACGATCAGGACCGATTGGTCTGAAAATATTGAGAGTTTTGGCACGAACAAGAGCATGAATGGTCGGATTGGCAATCAGTGATCCATTGTTTTCCTTGACTAATTGCCCCAATTCTTTGATATGAGACAAAAGCAAAGGATCAAGATATCTTGCACGTTCTTGATCGTACCGTTGTTGCTCAAGTACCATTTCTGTTTCTTGTTTCTGTTCGGCCAGAATTCGATCATTTTCTCGTAGTAGTCGAGCAAGCTCTTTGTCTTGTTCATGTCTTTGGACTGCTATCAGCACATCTTCACGTCGTTGTTCTTGTAATGTGTCGTATCGTGCCTGTTCGATTTCGAGTTCATGCTTACGTTGCTCCAAAGACATGTTGCGTGCCTTCTCAGCATTGAGTTCATCGTTCACACGTCGTTGTTCAGCAATTTCCTTGTCGACTTCACGTAATTCTCTGGAAATATTTAAGTCTTGTTCTCGCTGTCGTTCTGCTTCCTGTTTATCAATCAAACGCTGAATTCGAGCTTCATTTCGTTGGTCGAATGTAAGAACAACCGTAAAATACCGAGCATTAGAGGTAAAAATAGAGATCCAATAGACGAACATATTTCATTCATAGTCAAACCACAATACGTTTTTGGACGGCGGCATACACTCATTTTCGATTGCCTAACACTGCGACGAAAGCGGCGTCTGACGAGCATAATTCTATTGCTACGAGAATAGAGATGGAATGAGACCTGAAAAATATCTGTAAAGAAATAATAGTGATAACTATGATTAAATATGTATGATTGTGTGTATGCCTAGAAGCCATTGCACGAGAGAGACGACCCAAATGCGGACCATGTGGTAAATCAATGTTACCGATTTCAATAAAAGTTTCCTTTTATGTAGCCCTAAGTGAGATATAAAAAGGCCGAAATTTTTTTCATCTAAAATCTTTCCACTGTTGAGATATTGAAATCACAATAGAATCACTCTCAAGTGAAAAATCATCGTGACCAATGCATTTTCCATTCTTTATCTATTTCGTCATTTCTCAAAAATGATGTTTTCAGTCATGAAACTCTATGGATATACAGAGTGATCCGAAAGTAACTCCATATTTTAAATCCTTTATTACTCTCCAACAACAAAAGATATCTCTCTGATTTTTCCACCAGTTTGAAGAACAGACTATGGCATTCTGTTCTAGGTGAAGTAAATTGATTGATCGTTTGACTGTCTAACGAGGGAACATTTTCAGATGCCTCGCTCCGATTTCATTCGTTCACATATCATTCGATAGGGGACTTCGAGTAGGTAAAAAGCCTAAAAGGATTTCGGCCAACGGATTTTCCTTTAAAAGTTATGACCAGTTTTCTAATTTTCCCAACGAAAACTAGCATAACAAGAAAAATTCAAAACTACATCCCAGATACTCATAGAGAGCTGCAATTCTTTTTCGTAGTAGTCTTAAAGGTCCTCTATATATCCTGAAAGTTTCACACTTCTGTCACTCTCTCTTCCTGGATTACAGGACTTGTCTATCAATAAGGAAAATTCTGTCAATTTCCTTTAAAATGCAGGGAGAGGTTTTGGCTCCTAATTTTTTTTGTAAAAGTTCAATTGATGAGATAACAAGATAGTGAACCGCTGATCTGACGATCAATGTTGTTAGCGAGTGTCGTCTCCATCCTGCCACACAGAGGCCTACAACTTCAGCAAGAGTTTTTCTTTTTTTGTTTTTTGTCTCAAAGGCATTTATTATCAACATTCAAGGAAAACATGCCCAAACAAAGTAAACATTAGACAACAACAAATAGAAAGAAGTAACAGAAAAACTGTCCTTTTGAAATATCAGTGATAATGATACATTTCAAAGAAATGTCCAAAACATGGCACTTTACTACAGTGAGAACACTTGATAAATGGTAAAGAGTCTTTACACTGGTGTATGTGACAACGGCTGTCGTCAAAGGAGAAACAGACTTCTTTAGCATTTTCAAACGTTCCAGAATGCTGTGTTATGTATCCTGATTGGTACCAGGCATATCTGATCATTGAGTTAAACTTTGGAGAGGACAATTGATTATACACCAATGAGTTCATCTTTATGATGTTATTTCGCTGTGCTAAATTAACATCCAGTTCATAGAGCCTTACATAATCATACATTTGACGAACTATGTGTTTAAACTGTCTGTTATAATAGACGTCACACGGCTGTATCATCGAAGTAGTTTCATTTAGTATTTCCAGTCGAGTTAAGTTTTTTAGTGATTGATACAATTTCACGTCACGTTGTCCATCCCAACAGTGTGACAGTAGTAGGCACTTTTTAGTACCAATGGTAGAAATCAGAACGTTGTTGATCCAGTATTCGACGAGGGAAGTAGTAAGTTTTTCAGGCTTACTGCATATGACCACTACATTATCGGCTTTGAAGAGTTTCTGTTTGATATTGTCACTCATGTGACCGTTTTGTTCTTGGAGGCAGATAAGTAGCGGACCTATTTGATGATCAGACAGTGAAATAATTGGCTGTACGCTGTAGCTGTGAGTTGTGTTATGAACAGATCGTACTTTTGCCAAAGTGAGATGCTCCCCTTCGAAGGAAGTGTTCGGTTAGAATACATTTCAAATGCTAAACCACTTTGGTCGGTATTAATGACGTTTTCCGGTCTATACTTTGGTAACATCTTCTGAACTTCAAGCACAAACTCATCAGCAGCTTGATTGATAGTCTCTTTGTTCTCAAATTCACTTTTGGTGACCAACTTTGTGATTTTTCTGCTGCAGATACCATGACGCCTCTTGAAATTGTACAATCAATAATCACTGGCAACGAAAGTGTCATCACCAACTTCTCCCGCTTTCTTCAAAGCAAAACGTTTTAGATGTATATCATGGATAGATAACAGCTGTTCCCGAGCTTTCTCAAAACAGTTATAGGTGAAGCTGTCGACTTCGTTGAGTTTTATCTTCTTCGTGTCATGTGCAGCAAGGTACTTACGAAATCGTGTAAGATATTTTCGATCAGGAATACTCTTGAAGGAATGATGAAAGCTGTTCCAGCTGTTTCCTTTTGTCAGTGTTTGAGTCTTTTTCATCGTAATAAGAGACCGCCCTTTTCATATATTCAAGTGAGAAATCGTGGAGTAAATTATATTCTGTATCATCATTCTAATCGTAGTCGGTATCCTTTTCCTTCACTTCCTCCTCATNCAACGGCTGTCGTCAAAGGAGAAACAGACTTCTTTAACTTTTTCAAACGTTCCAGAATGCTGTGTTATGTATCCTGATTGGTACCAGGCATATCTTATCATTGAGTTAAACTTTGGAGAGGATAATTGATTATAGACCAATGAGTTCATCTTTATGATGTTATTTCGCTGTGCTAAATTAACATCCAGTTCATAGAGCCTTAAATAATCATACATTTGACGCACTATGTGTTTAAACTGTCTGTTATAATAGACGTCACATGGCTGTATCATCGAAGTAGTTTTCTTTGGTATTCCTAGTCGAGTTAAGTTTTTTAGTAATTGATACAATTTCACGTCACGTTGCCCACCCCAATAGTCTGACAGTAGCAGGCACTTTTTAGTACCAATGGTACGGATCAGAACGTTGTCGATCCAGTATTCGACGAGGGAAGTAGTAAGTTTTCCAGACTTACTGCATGGGACACTACATTATCGGCTTTGAAGAGTTTCTGTTTGATATTGTCACTCATGTGACCGTTTTGTTCTTGGAGGCAGATAAGTAGTGGACCTATTCGATGACCAGACAGTGAAATAATTGGCTGTACGCGGTAGCTGTGAGTCGTGTTATGAACAGATCGTACTTTTGCCAAAGTGAGGTGCTCCCCTTCGAAGGAAAGTGTTCGGTTAGAATACATTTCAAATGCTAAACCACTTTGGTCGGTATTAATGACGTTTTCTGGTCTATACTTTGGTAACATCTTCTGAACTTCAAGCACAAACTCATCAGCAGTTTGGTTGAGTCTCTTTGTTCTCAAATTTACTTTTGGTGACCAACTTTGTGATTTTTCTGCTGCAGATACCATGACGCCGCTTGAAATTGTACAACCAATAATCACTGGCAACGAAAGTGTCATCACCAACTTCTCTCGCTTTCTTCAAAGCAAAACGTTTTAGATCTATATCATGGGTAGATAACAGTTGTTCCCGAGCTTTCTCAAAACAGTTATAGGTGAAGCTGTCGACTTCGTTGAGTTTTATCTTCTTCGTACCATGTGCAGCAAGGTATTTGCGAAATCGTGTAAGATATTTTCGATCAGGAATACTCTTGAAGGAATGACGAAACTGTTCCAGTTGTGTTTCCTTTTGCCAGTGTTTGAGTCTTTTTCATCGTAATAAGAGACCGCCCTTTTCATATATTCAAGTGAGAAGTCGCGGAGTAAATTATCTTCTGCATCATCATTCTCATCGTAGTCGGTATCCTTTTCCTCCACTTTCTCCTCATCCGAATCGTTGAAGTAGTGCAGAGAGCATAAATCATAGACAAAGTCCAAGGTGTGCTAATTTTCAAATCGATATTCACTACTGTTTAATATTGTAACTACGTTTTCGTAAAGCTGTTTAGCAACATCTTCGTCTCTAACACTACTGTCAGATAGTTGTACTGTTGATAGTAGTAATTTAGCAACGAATTTTGTTAATAATCTTGCGATATTGTGAGGGTTTATCATGGTTTTGTTTACTGTTTCAAAGATAGTAGCAACTAATAACTGAATAGTATAAAATAGGAATGAATGATAATAAGAACACAACCGAGTATATATACTAGAGAAATAGAGAGAGATCATGACGTCATGTGTAATAGGAACGAAAAAGAAAAAAGATATTTAAGTTACAGGAATGAAAAGGAGAGAGATATGCACTTGAACATATCAGAATCAAGCAGAGAAAATATGTGCATGTCATCGATGCGTATTAACAGAACGCAAAAGAAGAAAGAGATGTACACATATATGGTGCCCACGATAACACTATGATGACAATAACATCAAAGATAGAGAAAGAGCACTCTTATGACTTGACAAAGGAATGTCATAACAAAGAGTTCAAAATAGCCCTACTTTTTCTCTATTCTTTCTGACTTTCCTCTCTCATTTCTATGACTGTAATTAAGAAGAATATACATGACATACATACTTCTTCATTTTCTTTAATACCACGCGTATCAAAGAAAAAACAAGGTAAATATGTAATGCTCATTCATTGAAGGAAGTAAATATTACAAAAAGAAACTTTGTACGATGTGGTTCACCGTGATTTCTCCTGCTGAATAAACAAGTCCTATAACCTAGGAAAAGAGAGTGATAGGAGTATGAAATTGTCAGGGTATATAGAGGACCTTTAAGACTACTACGAAAAAGAATTTCAGCTCTCTATGAGTATCTTGGATGTAGTTTTGAATTTTTCTTTTTATGCTAGTTTTCGTTAGGAAAGTTAGAAAACTGGTCATAACTTTTAAAGGAAAAGCC